AGGTAGCAAAGTACTATAAATGTAAGACGTATATCCAAATATTTTATACTACAACGTTGAAGACATATCAGTTTTCGTATAGATAAGAGAGCCATATACCACAATTTCCAATTTGTCATTCCTTTTATGAACATTTTTTTTTCTATCTCATAAGAACCCTGTGCAGAGCTTTCGATATATTATTATATGAAGCTTATATAGAACACATTTTACTCTGTGTTCCGTATATATAAAACCACGTGTTTTGAACCAGAAATCTTGACTCATAATGTTGACATTGCGTCAGAGTATATAGGTAGGTACTTTTTGTTAAGCTCGGTTTAAAAGGCCAGCTCAAAAAACACCCGTATATACACACCTATGTATTATAATATACATATTTTATTTTTTATCGCCTACTCAGCTTTAATATGCATCATTCGCTGTATAGTATATTATATATGGGTAGTAAGTACCCACATTAATTCCATGCATTGACTCGGACACAAAAGCCCAGACATGTAAACAGCTTTTACCAACCGACGGCCTTCATAACAAGTATCTATTGAAAAGGTCATCGACGCTTGTAATTTTCATGAGCACACATCAGAAATTCTGCACAACACACGTATATACGAGCATACAATATAATAATATGTACCGACACACAAAGGTCGCCGCCGAGACTGCCGATGAGTATCTACATTAATTAAAGACGTCGCAAACACATCATCTTCTCCGAGGTTTTAATGAATTCTTTACATTGAAGAACCGTATACATAGTATATACATAGTCTATATAGTGCAGAGTACCAGTAGTACCAGTAGTATATATATACATATAATATGAAATATATTGCTTCAGCGTAGTGCTGTGTGTGAAACGATACTCAGAGATTTGTAGTATATAATAAATGTATATATTATATAAAATATATATTATCATGGTATTGTGTTGCTCGACGAGTTTTAATTGAAAACAAGACTTTTCAAATACGAAAAAATAATATTTCAAAAGGCCATCACATAATGTAAATAATAATAATAATAATAATGATAATAATACTATACAAGAATACAAGTAAGTAAAAATATAGAAAAAATAATGTATACTGTAATGTAGCTACATTTAGTATATTTTTTTTCGAATAATTTTAGACACCAATAAGTGCTACCAAAATAATGGACACAATCAAATTGTTCGAGAGAGGTGACCGCTATACAGGTATCTTTTAAGACAGGTTTCGCAGGCAATAATAGTAATGATGATAATAATATTACAAAAATTAAGTGAAATTGTAAAGAAAAAAAATTATATTGTAATGTAGATAATATTACATTTACTAAATTTTTATCCGAATAATTTCAGCAGACTAGAGGGGTCCAACCAAGACAAAAACTGCAGACGAGAGAAAAATGGCCAAGAGAAAAATACAGTCCAGTGCAGCAGAACGTAGCTGCACGTGCAAATTTGAGCACGGACGCGTTAACACTTAACAACGGCAGTTTATCGTTTATATATTAGGCATTAGAATATTCGATTTTTACTATGGATACTTATATAATATATTATAATCATGATATTGTATTGATTCACGAGGTTTGAGTTGAAAACATGATTTTTCAGATATAAAGAAATAATATCGCAAAAGGCCATCACAAAATGTAAATATTATATTGACGATAGAATATTACAAAAACAAGTAATTAAAATCCCTAACCTAACCTAACCTAATGTACCTATACTGTAATGTAGCTATATTTACCAAATTTGTTTCCAAATCATTTTAGACTCAGAGAACCAAAACGAAAACTGCATACGAAGGACCACCAGGAAAATACGGGCCACTCAGTGCCGCATTTAGATATTTTACGCTCAGGTGCAAAAACAAAATTGCTCCCCCTTAAGGGGCCTACCCACGGAAAATATGGGAGATAGATCCTCATTAACCTTTTCGGTTTTGAGCACTGAAAAGAATATTTTTTTTACAATGTGTGTTTTTTTTTTTGAAAATATCGTTTAGTAATAATTACTTGATCCTCTCTCCGCAAAGATACATTTGAATTTTGTCACTTAAACCTTGCTTATAATTCATCGTATACCTAAGTTATTTTTTTTAATTTATTTAAGTAGGTTGTAGGTACTTCATGAATAAATAAAATAAAATTATATAAAACTATGCAAATGAATATTAATTAAAAAAATGTCAAACAGTATAATACTATACCTATATATAACACTGTTATTAAAATAATTAAAATTATAAAATTTTAATAATTCACAAGTAAACAAATTTCTGACCACAACATTTTGGTGCCTCTAAAACACTGGCCCCGGGGCAGTTGTACTCAAGGCCCCCCCTAAATGCGGCCCTGAGGCCACTGCAGCAGAACGTGGCTGTACTTGCAGATTTGAACACAGCCGCGATGAAAGCAGACAGATATTATATATAATATTATTAGCATAATAGTTCCAGTGTTATTACCTACACCTATTATTGTACGTAGTCGGTATAATATTAATTTATAATATAATATATAATATTATGTATATTATAATGCACCGTGTTTACGACGTCCAATATTGCATTGTCGAAATGGTCAACGAGGGTAACAATCATATTAACGCATAGTTACGACACTCAGGGGTGGCTGGGGGATGGATAGTTCATTTGCATACAGACAATTAATTAGACATATTATAATACTATGATGTAATCAATTACATGGTGGCTGGCTCTAATATACATAATATATATATGTTTATATATTGTAGATACTATTCCTATAATATTATATTGATTATAGATTTAGACGGATCTGGGTGGTCGTTTACAATGTCAAATCAGCTGGCTGTCGAATTCATTTCACGAGTATTATTATATTATATTGTATGCCATCTGAGATACGTTTTTTAAGAACTAAAATCATTTAAATCACTTACTAGGTTATTGGTCGATAGTTTTAATACCTATCAGAGAACATTATGTAGGTTATATTATAATGATTCCGATAATATTTGAGAATAGTTTAAGTCTTGAGTTATTTATGTAAACACTGATTCACCGGCGAATAGTATTAAACACTGATAGATATAATAATTTAAACTTTAACAACGAGCATTACTTTAGCTATGTATATTGTATACAGCATTGATAACCATTAATCACTGTACAATAATTATAATTATAATATGTATTAATAGTAGTTCGAAATATTTATAAGACTAAAAATATTACACTTAGTTGTAATCACAATTCAAATAAAAATGACAATACCTCAGAAATGCGTATTACGGTTGTGTTTACGAGTATAATTAATTATAGGTTTATTTTAAATGCAAAAGTAATTAAAAAATCCATTGTGAGCAGAATATGTTTTTGAAAAATAAACTACAATGTCATATTGTATTAATCTCTATTTTAAAATGTATTATTAGTAAACATATTAATGCGTGTTGCATAAAAATAACCTACCAGCTATGAAATTGAAATTATTTTTGTAAGCTGATATGTTTATCGACCATTCTTTAAATATTAATGAATTTGACCTACTTTTGGGTAACAAACTGATATCGGAGTAAAAAAATAATATGTAATTTGAGCATACCTGGGTGACTGGGTTCATAATTTCGCATCAATTATGTGATTTCCAATTATTATTTGTTAAAATTACTGGAAATAATTAATTATTTTATTTAAGATTTAATTTACAAATAATATATGTTATATATTTCTGTCAAATTAATTTAACATAAAAACAATATTATATGAGCAATCGTTTTGAGCCTTTCATTTGCATCGATTGTTTACAATACAAACAAATATTACTAATTAGATTATAAGTCCGTGACTCATTACGTGAGGTATTTACGGGAAATTAGTTTTATTGCATTTTCCAACGTATATTATTTTATTCAAATAATTGAATTTTTCCTAAGTTGAATTTGTGATGTATACATATATATTTAGTATAATTTACATAATACAACAAATACAATTAATAAATATACGAAGTTAACGAGATACCTAGTTTTTTCATTTGTATTTTGATGTATATTATGCTTAACGTGATCCTATATATAAAATTTAATACCTATATTAAAATATTAAAATATAATAATTAAGTTTTGCAGTAAAAGCTTAGGTGAAGAGTAATAATATATTTCTATATATGCATATAGTTACTTCATACATGATTATAGTATAGAATTTACGTCCAAATTAGTTTTTTTTATGAAGTTTTATACTTAATGAATTGACATTTGAAAGTATTACGAAGTAAGTATAAGGTACCTACCTACATCAAACGTGCTAATAATTATAAATTAATATTATTCATAAGTAAACTACATATATTGAGCCAACTACAATTAGCCTTAATGTTTAATGCATTATGTCGCAAGACAAACCTTTTTTGTGTTTAATGACAAGTAGCTGCTGTAAGCTCATGTAGGTCCATAATTTAATTATTTTCCTGCTAGAGACTCTAAAATTCTAAGACATCCACTGCTTGTCATCTTCTTGCAGCAGTGTAAGGATCTGATATTTTTAGTAGTGTTACGCATAACAGATCACGAGTATATGTATAAATAGTGTTAGGGTGTAGGAATGTCTTACGCCTTTGATAGCAATTTCACGACAAAGGTATGCCTGAAATTTGAATATTAACTACCCCAGGTTTTGTTACAATTATCCCCCTTGACTGGCCACCCTATCTGTATTGCTGAGTATCTTTACACACCCTCGTATCTCTTTAATTATGCATTCATTGAGCTTATATATAATATAAACATGTATATAACACACACACAATGATATTGCTACCTATAAATGTGTAATGTGTATATATATAGAAATTTTGCGGACTTAACAGAGTCGTCCCAAGTAAGGCCCTTGCTTATGGCCTTAACCACCAAACTTAAATGCCTTTCCCTCCGTCCACGCATCAAGTTAAATATTTTGTGTTTCGGTTATCTTTTTAATTTATGTCAACTGATAACGTTAAAAATAATTGAACACTTACTCCTTTGAATCTAAATCGACTGGTTCTTTTGACAAGCGGTACTTTAAATTGTGACGTATATCTTGGGACTCATTACTCAAACGGTTGGATGCCAAAGACGCAGGCAGCAACATGGCGGTTTCTGAAAAGAAAAAGAAAATTGCTTAAACGTCCATGATTTTATTATGCTGCATACATTTCTATTACCTACTCAATTACTCCGGTAACGTGAGTTCAGAGCATATGAATTAAATAGGTAATATCTTAAAAAATAACGAATACCTAATACAGCTTTAAATTTCTTTTGTTAAGACTTATAATATTATAATACTAATATAATATTCATTTGAAATAACTATCGAGATATAATTAAACTAAATATATTATACATAATATAAATATATTAACGATGATGAATGATGATTTACAAAAATTAAATTAAATTAAATTAATTCCAGCTAACTTGTAATAATTAATATGTACATTAGAAATAAATTACATAGATATAATATATTAAATGTTATTATTTATAGAACTTCAGAGATTCGATTATGTTAATTTACATAATAAATAACAATACATTAATATGTATAAATAGTTATTGCTTAAACAACCTCGTTTGTTGGTTAAGATTTTAATTAATAGTTATATTCAAAAAATAAAATAACTGAACATAATATTGTATAAGGTGCCTACCTATATATTATTATATATTAACATACAGTAATTAAGAAAAACTTTGAAAATGTGTCAGTTTTTTTTATTTATTTAATTATTTATTTGGGACTGCAAATTTAATACTAAAGTTTCTACAAAACTTTATTCATGTAATTTTGTATTATGAAAAAAAAAAATATACAAAAAAGCGGGTAAGTGGATGTCACACTGCTGTACAGTAGGTTACAAAGTGGGTCACCTTAATGATCAATGGATGGTATTACATTTGAATTCAATGATATAATAACGATTCTGAGAGGAGACGGTTAGTCGGCTTAGGATATTTTAATTTGTATTTAGTTTTCAGTTTTTTTGACCCAATTAGTACATTTTTATTGATATTAAGAAAAAAAAAACTTGGCAAATTGAAAATGATCGTAACCAATTCGAAACGAGTCAAAATATTTTGAACATTTTATGAAGTATAGGAATTGTTAAAATAAACATATGGTATAAATGTCAAGAAATCGAGTGAATACCTAATGTTATAAAAATTTGAGCTCACACTCTTATAAAAATTTTATTTGACTCCCTGGTATAGATTTTTTTTTTGACAAAGGTAGACAAACTTATGAGGACTGAGGAATCTTGAATTAAATTTTCAAATCATAGATTTAAAAAGTGAAATTTTTATAATAATTTTTAATATAATATTATATATTTAATTTTATAATTCAATATACATTTTTAAAATAACTGTCAAATTTTCGTGATTTTTACGTATTTTGTAAAAATTTTAACTTTAAATGATTAGAAAAAAAATTATAACTTTGTATTTTTAATATTTTCAACTGTCATTTTAACAATAGCATAAAGAGCCTTAAAGCCTTGTATTAAATTTCTAGCTTTTTGACCCAACGAATAACATTTTATTGATATTTATAGAATAAAAAACTAAAACATTGAAAACTGAAAATGTTCGTAAACAGCTCAAAATATTTTTTAAATGTTATGGTCTATAAAAAACGCTAATTTAAACATTCAGTAAAAATGTCATGTATCTACGGTAATTTGTTTTAGAGTTACCCCACAAACCAAAAACGATTTTATCAAAACAGATTTTGGGTAAAAATTCCTGTTTTCCTTATTTTTTTCCGGTGTTTTAGAAAACTTCTGGGGATTTTAAATTTTCACCTCGCCAATGTACCATCAATATTTACATAACCATTAAACAAACTATCGAGTTGAAAATCGAAGCATTATTTCGACTACTTATCGTGTACAGACACAAAAAATTATAAAAATAAAATAAAACTCACATTATTATATAATCAATAAGTGCCTACATTTATCGCTCCTTTCAGAATCTAAAATCTAATTAGTGTGATGTATTAGAAAGTAGATAGAAATAATTTGTGACATAAAATATAATATAATAGCAATACTATTATGAATTATGAGTAGTTTATTAAATTATCATAAACATAATATTTTGGTTGTAAAGGTACTTTATAAAATTATCGTTACATAATTATTGGCGATAAAGAAAAATCAAATATTATCCTCACTAGTTTTGTAAATGTCAATAATTCTGCCAACAAACGTTGAAAATACATATTGTCAGCGTCTATCTATTGTATTCATATTACTATTACTTTTTATCATGACAGACATTCATAATATCTATGGTTGGACGTTTGAGTTTTGAAATACGTGCTATGCGTTAGATTTACTTAAAATTGTTTATTTTAAAATGTTTATTAATATCAATCCATTTAAACTCGTTTAATTCGTGCTTTTTTTTTTATACTTACATTGAAGCATACACTTCAATTGCATATTTCAGAGTACACTCACAACTTCTATTCATGCAGCTGCTAAAATTAGTTAAATATTTTAACAATGAGTATATTATAATGCACGTAAACGGTTGTGTTTTTAATTAGAAACATATTTATAATAACAAACATTATAAGAATATTGTTATTCATAGAAAATAATTGACGAATTTTCGAATTTCGAAACCACTGAGAGCTATTATACTTTGAAAAATTATAATCTATATTATTACAAATACCTATGTCCTATACCTATTATATACTATTGTACTCAAAATATATATTAATTATTTATTAGTCACATATTTAATAGCGTATAATAAAGTACACAGTTATAATATGATAATATTTTTACATTATATCATTTGCAATAATTATCTATTTCTCAAATTATCACCGAATTGCGGTTTTTCGTTAGGCAAAATGAATGTTTAATTAATGAACATTGGCCGTTCAACTCTCGCTGACCTCTAGGAACTCAATGATTCATAGTTTATAAATTATCTAAATCTCTTTCATCTTATTTACAGTGAAAAGTTGACTAGGGTCAAATCGATGTGCTTTCATTACAAACCCTGCTTCAGTGGAGTAGAGATTCAGTGCAATGTCTCTGAGAACAGTAAGTAAAGAAACTCTGGGCTATTTAACGATACAGTGGTGGGTCACACTTTTAAGCCCAATTCCGAATTCTCTTATTGCTCGAGTAAAAGCACATAACATACATATAGACGATACCTCATATATCAACATAATTTAATATAGTACCTATACTATTAGTATCGCTTAGTAATTTTTAAAAGTGGAAATTTGAATTTCTAAGACAACCGAGCAAAGTTATAAAATTAAACAATATAGGTCAGATTAGAGCTGAAAATGAACTAACTTTTGTTCTAGTCAATATAACATTTATTTTTATATGTATAATAAAATAAATTTTATTTGAAAAATTCAAAATAGAAAATTTTTAAATCTAATTTTCAGAACAATTTGAATGATAAAGATGGTTATTTATTACAATTTTATTAAATATCAATACTTATTTGGAGTAAATTAATTTGAAACGTAATAAATTTTTTCAAAATATTCTTTTTGAATATTTACCAATAAATATTTCCTGACATGAGTATATTTCTTAAATTATTTATACCCGTATAGTTTTCATAATTTTTGCCATACGTTTAACAGTCTACATTTTTAGATATATCAGTTATTTCTGTTACACCCTTTGTAACACTGAAAACTAATTTAATAAAATAATGCAAATTAAAATAATGATAGAGTTAGGTATAGGTACTTTAAAATAGTAGAAGTCGGAAAATTAAATAATGCATTGTATTTATTAAGTTTAACTATCTACTAAAAATCGATCATTCACAATTAAGATTTACTTTAATTAATTCCACGATAACTTTAATGATACATATTTTGTATTCAGGTACCTACATACTTTCTATGCATTATAATATTTAAAAAACACATTTTTTTTTGGTGGATATTTTTTCTAGCCGCGAGACCTAATGTTTACCTACGCTCAACTGTCTGAACATTTTTATTGTTGTCATAATATTATAGCTGAATATTATGATATACACGAACAAAAAATATTTACCTAAAAGGTAACGACGTTCAAAAAAACGGAAATAATACATTAAAATCAATCTTGTAAATACTATAATATACATATTAATAAATTATACTAACGACCTCAGTGGCTGATGTACCTACTTATGATAAAAAAAAAATGTTTGTTATAAAATATGATATGCCTTTTTCTTTTATAAGATTTCCATTTTAAATTTAATGCAATTCTATTTATACAGTTGTCAGTCAGTCAGTGTAAACTGTAAAGTTGAAGCGAATTGTGTACAATGTATACCAACATATAAAAATGATACTCAAAGTAATGACAACAATAAATGATAACAATAGTAGACGTACATCAAATAAGTATAATATGTAAGATATTAAATATACATGTACAACAGCTGTGTACATAATAGACAACAAAACAATCTGGAAAACAATCGATGCACTGATGTCTACAGTTCTTAACAATGAGTAATTACAATATTTTTTGCAATTGTTTCTTTCTTATCTTTTGTTTGTATTTAAGGTGCTTGTGAATAATGAGCCTCGACTTTTTGCTTGATTAAAATATTTCCATGCCAACAGTCAGACAACAATAAATTAAACCGTTGCTGCCCATGGACCGTTATCTCCAAAAATGAACAACACTCTAAGAAAATATTACTACGGGATGCATTTTACTTTTCATTTGATATGGTACATAAATATTTGTTGTGGTTAAAATACAGTACACCAAGACAGTGCTAGAAAATTGTATTTATTATTATGGAAGTCGGTTAGGGTACGGTGGTAGCTTGCAGGGATGTGACACTTTGGAATTATGCAAAACACAATGGATGCGAACTTTCGTTAGTATGAAAATGTATTAAAAATTATGGTCACAACAGTGTAAGGATTTATGTTTTTATAAAATTATTATTTAAAAGGCACATCATAAACGTGAAATAGGTTATAGCAAATAGAGAGTGTAACGCGTAATTACATGATTTATTATTTGTGTCTAATCTCTTTTTCTTTTTATTTAAAGTTTGTTTTTTAAAAAGTATCATGTACGATTATAATTGTTATAGGTAGAAAAATATTGGTTGAAAAAAACCTTAAGAGACATTTTTTGTCTCCTACTTACAAGTGCGTAACATAGAAAATGTATGCTAAGCACATTTAGTTTAGCTTTGTTCATTTACAAATTAGAGTGAATAGACCTATTATGAAACTTGTTGGTAAGGACATTATCTGTGTTTGTATATGGTTTTTTTTACGATACTTCAAGTTTTTAGCAAGTTCTGGGTACATAATAAAGCGTAAATTAAAAATGCTCATAACTAACTCAAAATCTAAATCAACTTAAAAACCCACATACAAACACAGATAATGTGTTACCTAAATGTTCTTACCATAAATGTTCATAATAGATCAATTCACTCTAGTTTTTAAACTAACGGAGCTAAACGTGATCTGCTGAGAGTAAATTATGTATGTTACGAAGTTGTAAGACGGAGATGACAAATATATGTGTAGCGTCCTCTTAAAGTATATACATTTTATATAATTGTATTAATTTTTCTATTTAATAAAACGTATGTAAATAATATGCAATAAATTGTTATTTTTTTTTAATAAGTATTATTGTTATGAAAATAAAATTGTAAATTGGTTTTTAAGTTATATATTTTTATCATCTAATAACAATGTGTTTGTTACTTTATTGCAGTTTTATGTATGGCAGATATTTTAAAAGACCTTTTAATCCGTATTGTTTTAATATTAACATTTTATTAATGAACCTATGGTACAATGAAGTATAAAATAGTTGCTAAAATGCTTTATTCAAACTTGTTAATTAAAATGTATTTAAAATGCCAATCTTTCAGTTTTAAAAAAATAAACCCTCGTGGTTATGAACTAGTATTTTTAGTTATCAATTTATAAAACACATTACATGTAAAAATAATCACTATATATTATGTTATGGTCATATTATATTAATTTATTTTATTAAAACTATAATGAAGCTCTCTTGGTTATGTATTATATTTTTGTTTATAACAAATAATGCAATTTAAATGCTTTATGTATTTTTTAATTAATCATTCAAAAGAGGTTAGACAATTTAATTAACAGAATTATATGAAATATATTGATGTATGGATTTAAAAGTTGAGTCCATTTTAATTTTAAAAATTTTAAAAAGAAAATAGATGGATACTCGAGTCTTGTGATCAGAAATATATTTTGAAACGACATGCCAAGAAGATTAAAGTGTCATTTTGAACATAAACAATGTTGACCATTATTATAGTTGGATCAATTTTTGTCAAAGATAATTTTCGTAAAAAATAGAAAAGGAAATGCTATACAAACTGTTTGTGTTAACATTATCCAGTTGAAATTGATTTATAAATGTAATTTAATACATTTTGATGAAACCTAAAGTTTAATGTTTACAAGTAGGTCATGCACGTCATGATACTCGTATTATGATTTTAAACTATAGCACGGCAACGAAAGTATGCAATTTTCTAGCACCGAAGACTGCTTGACGCCGATGAGTATAATCGAGAAACAGCCGGGGGCTAGTAGTTAATAATATTATAATAGATTATATATTATTAAAAGTACGAAATATTTAACGACTAACTTATTATCCATGTTATTACCATCCAAATCATTTAAACGAATTAAGGGACTGGTTTTATTATAACCAGGATCAGATTTTGAGATTCTCAAAAATATACAATTATAAACATTTGTTTTTTTTATTGGTTTGGAATGTTTCAGATGTTTAGAAAAAAAAATAGTCCGTATACCTTTTAGTGCGCTCCCTGGATAATTGGGGCATCTGGTTCCCATGCATGCCCTTTTCTGCACCATCGAAGGACAATGTTTTCCACCATTTACTGGTGTTTTCATCACTTGTCTTTTTCTTGTCATCATGCCACTTCCGCATTCCGTGTCGCATTCACTCCATGATTCCCACTCTGACATCACACAATCAATCACTGGAAAATAAAATAAAATAATGTTACATTTTAAAACTTTAACCATATACAATCATTTTTCGTTTTATTGTTGAGTATTATGTATTATACAATATGTAATCCTTCTTAAACATAAGAAATCTCGTGTCACGGTATTAGTGGTCGAACTGCTCCGAAACAGCTAGACCGATTTGAATGACATTTTATTTGTATACTAGATTCCGGTGTTTGTCATCCCGCCTACGGCGGAAAGACTGTGTGGGCGGTGGTGCATCTTTGTCGGCTATGCTGGGTTTTTTGATCCAGCTTGCGGGGGGAAGGGGGGTCGTCGGGTATTACGTTTTGTCGTGTTGGCAGCACTTTTTAAGCGGTAATTTTTGAACTCGGAAGAGTGTCTAGTCGTAAGTCACGCGATTCAAGTCGATCGTAAGACACAGCCAGCCAGGTAGGCAATCCGACTACGTCGGATCGCAGACCATGCACCGGGCTTGTATGTCCGGTTCTCGTATGTGTGTTGAAATCGGAAATTCGGATTCTGAGTTTGAGTATCTAGCTATCAGTCATCTCGGGTGAAAGTCGATTCCCGAGTGTCAGATGCACTGGGGGTGTACGTCGCTCGTATGCAAGTAGCTAGTCAGGTAGGCAATCCGACTACGTCGGATCGCAGACCATGCACAGGGCGTGTGTGTCCGGTTCTCGTATGTGTGTTGAAATCGGAAATTCGGATTCTGAGTTTGAGTGTCTAGCTATCAGTCATCTCGGGTGAAATCCGATTCTCGAACGGACAATCCGCCTACAGCGAAAAGTGCTCGAAACGGCCGTTCAAATATGAAAAAGTATACAGGAGGTAATAAAATTGTATTTGTTGATAATTATAGAGAACAGTTATCAGGTGTTTTATGTTAGGCTTCACTGTAATCAATGTAATCATTGTTATGTTTTCGCGGTTATAACAAATAAGTCGACAAAATCTAATTTTCTGATTGGATATTTTCTAAAATATACCTACCTTGTATATTTATTTAATTATGAGAATTAAGTCAAATTAACAAATAGATAATTATATTATTGAATAACAAATTTTATTGAAATGTAATACTATCCTATTAAACGTAGGTATCTATAAATGAATACACTATACATACTCTCGTTTCCGACACACTACTCCACCCCGGGACTCGAATTTTCGAAAAAAAACGGCAAATGAAGCAGTCATATTACAGTCGTACTACTTTTTAATATAGTATTTATAATCTGTAGCAGTATTTAACCAAATCGGAATCACGTAAAAACTGTAATATATCAAGTAGGTACTACACGTAGGTTAGTTATATTATAATGTATTATTAAAAGAAACATGTAGGTGCGTCGGTAAATGTTAATTATAATAATTTTTTTGCCCAATAAATATCGTCAAACGAATAATAATAATATATATAATATAATAATGCAAATTAAAAAAAAAAATTAACACTTTCGTTAAAAATGATAAATGTGACGAAAAAAAAAACGCAAAAAAAAGAAATTCGATTTAACACGGCCCCGCCGGCGTTCGAAACCACGACCGTCGAATCACCCGTTTTAACGCCTAACCTACCTAGCCACCTACCGAGATGAAATTAGGAGCCAAATCTATGACTCTTAAGGGCGTTTGAGCGGACCACCGTGTCCGCCACCTTCGGACGTTCAAAACGCGAGATTTGCGAAAAAAATCGAACCTCGAGGCGCATGTATATATAATATATGCCTGTATATAGCGATACCTACACGGTACCTACTCTCGTTTCTGACACACTACTCCACCCCGGGACTCGAATTTTCGAAAAAAACGGCAAATATAGTCGTACTATTTTTTAATATAGTATTTATAATCTGTAGCAGTATTTAACCAAATCGGAATCACGTAAAAACTGTAATATATCAAGTAGGTACTACACGTAGGTTAGTTATACGTTATTATAATGTGTTAATAAAAGAAACATGTAGGTGCGTCGGTAAAATCAAGTATTAATTAAATGTTAATTTTAATTATTTTTTTGCCCAATAAATATCGTCAAACGAATAATAATAATATATATAATATAATAATGCAAATTAAAAAAAAAAAATTAACACTTTCGTTAAAAATGATAAATGTGACGAAAAAAAAAACGCAAAAATAAGAAATTCGATTTAGTACGGCCGCCGCAAATAATCGAAAATCCCGGACGGCGGTTTCGAACCCACGACCCTCGAGTCACCTATCCTAACGCCTAACCAACCTAACCACCTACTCAGATGAAATTTCGAGGCAAATGTATGACTCTTAAGCCGCGTCGCCGTGCTCGCGGCGATAAAATAAAATTCTTATCACTTTCCTTATCAATAAAAACAATATTTAAGAAAATCCCAATAAATCCTATCAAAAACTCAAAACCCCGAGTTTCCCCTTGGCGAGGTGGGTGTTAGTACTCTCCCGGACCAAAATCCATCAAAAAAGCAAAATCCAAAAAGGGGGGGAGGAGGTGCCCCCGTTCCCTAAAGCGGAAAACGGTAGTATTCATAAAAAGAATGGGTTCCCCCTTGGTCCGAGGTCTTTAACTTGAATTCCGGCCGAGTTATACTCAACTCAAAATGTGGGGGGGGTGGGGGCTTTGGTTCCCTAATGTTGAAAATTCATCTGGGGCCTAAAAAATTGAGATGCCCATAGGTACGGGGTCTCTAAGTCGAATACCGGCTAAGTTATACTTCGTCAAAAATAATTACTCGTTTAATGGGTCCCCCCACTCCGCCCGACGGTCGCGGGGTAATCGATTTATAAGACGTTATTATCACGTCAAAAAATTGAAAAACACGGGTTTTTTTTTAATAATAATAATAATGTTCGAAAATATTAGGATCGATAAGGAAAAGGGAGATAAGCGAGCGGAATTTATAGCGAACGCGCGGGAAGTATTGTGATTGGTGGTCATGGAAGAAACGCGGAGTGCCGTGAGCGCTCCCCGCGGATCTTATACGCGTTATTAGCGTTTTATTATATAAGATTTGGTAGGTATGAGAATAGGTCGCAAAGTATTTTTCATCCTCCTAGGTCCAACAAGGGTGCTCAAACGGTGATTTTGAGATTTAAGGTGGAACTTTTGGTTACATCTTATATTAATATTATAACCTCCATGACCCATGCGCAATGCTTAAAATAAATAAATGCAAATCGTTTTTCTCATGAAATATTGTTTTCGCTAATAGTCTGGTTGTTGAATAGACCCCTGCATCGCCTTTGCCGTGATCGATGAAAGCAGAGGCATGAAAAAAATAGTATGAGTGGCTCGTGCGGGAAGGCAATTTCAGTCTTGTACGAAATTCAGCCCTCGCCGCATACGCCGCCCGCCACTGAAACAGCTCACTTCCCGCCCTTGCCGCACAATATACTATATCATGTTTTATATTTAATATTTTACGTTTATTTGTTCAGTCAACTTTCAAGTGTGTTGTACGTTAATTATTCAAGTAATGAAATACATGAATCGGAGATAGAGTTGACCATTAAAAGTGTGTTTAATTTGTGCTTTCGAAATCCTTAAAAATAATGAACATTGTTGGGTTGTTTAGCGTGTTACTAACAATAGTTAGGATATATCTTAGAGGGCTAAAAAAGCTTGTTAAAAAATAAATAATATTATTTTTTAGTATTTACGCTTTGTTAAGCGGCAAAGCTTTCACTTTAAATAATAAGTATAAATCGAATAAATAAACTTTAAAAGTGGATGTGTTTAGTGACAGTAAATAATTTAACATTAAGTTTGTCTAAAAGTACATTGCCAAATTAACAGAATGTGACATAACATAAATAGGGTACTACAATTAATTTAAAGTGTACACTAACAATGTTCTCAAAAGAATGCCATAGTAGTTAAAAGCCCATTAATGTACTTTTAATAGTCATTGAATAAAGTATAAAATACCGAATTCTTAACTATTGTTACTAAAAGAGTAATAATAGATTGTGCATAGTTGATTTAGAATAATATGCACATCGAGATTTTCAGAGTTCATAATTTAATATAAATTCTTACAATACTTAAATTAATTGAAAAATAATTGATTAAGATTTAAAATGTTAATAACTGTTCAATATTTTTTCATAAAGTTTTCAATTAAATTTCATGATACTGCATTCAGTAGGTAACTATTTATAACTTACCAATGTCGATGATAATAATAATCATACAAAATTAATATATATTTTTGGAAATATATAAATAATAATGGGGTTCTTATACAATACGAACTATTATAACAACTAATGATCTCTGAAAATTGTTTCCCCACAAAACTACATAAAACAATTTAAATTTTAGCCTTTTTTTTTGCTATCATTATTATTATGTTGTAAAAAACCTTCTCGTTCTATATAATAATAACATAGTAGAATAATTCTCTTTTCTCTATGTGCCATACTGCCATAATATATTCATATTTGATATTCATACATTACTAAATGGAAAGTGTAAAAAGGCCATTGTAAAAAGCAATTTACTCTAAATGGACTTTTTTTTTTAATGAATATGAGTATATGACGTAACTGTCGAATCATGATATTATTATATTTTGCAAATTGTTTAGTAATAATAACAGCAAACAATAAACACAAATATTGTTCACTGTTATTTTTGATTTAAATACGTTTTACATAAAATATCGTTTTATGGAGGTACCTACATACATAATATATTGTAGTTATCTATTGCCTATTGGAACAAAACGATTTGTCTTAGTCTTGAGGAGTAATAATGTAATTCTAATCGAGTAATAACCGTATTAATATTTAAGTACCCGTCTATATATATATATATATATATATATATATAGGTACACGGGAGTTTGTCTACGCACGCGCAGTGACTAATACTTACATTATCGTAACACAAGTTGGAAATGGAATGAAAATCTGTATATAGACTTAAACTTATTGTATAATCAATTCAACACGGTATCGCATATTTATATATACAAAGCATAGAAATTATCATATCAAATTAATT